CCTCATAGTAGATATTATAATATGTTTATAAATGTAATAATACATTCATAATTTCCATTTATTTTTAACAACAGTAAATGCATTTCATTTTACATGCAAAAAGGATTATTTATATGGAAGACTGAAAAGCACAGCAACAAAATAAGGCCTGTTCAACTCTAAGGAGCATGGAAAGCATGGAAAATGGCCACGAAACACTAAATTATCATGGTTTTGGCACCAAAAAACCTTAATGAGCATTATACAGTAACCTCAGGGGAAAAAAATAAATGATGAAAAATGCATGAATAAAAAATGCATTAAATGAACTAAAAGGTCTACATTTTGTAATCGTTCAAGTGTATTCAAGTATAATCGTTTCACCTTTTCCAGTGGGTGAGTAGTCCTCAGTAGAGCAGCTCTGCTCAGATGGCTTTGGCAGAGACACTGTGTTGAGATCCATCATCAGAGAGTGAGGAATCTGATCGGGGCTGCAATGGTTCAGCACGACGACCTGCCCTCCACCGGTCACATCACACACAACCTGCACTGGCTGTAACATCTCAGAGAAGATGGCCTATTTCATCAATTTTGAAATGGCTTCATTTTTATTCATCTCAAATCTGGCACAATCAGCTCCTGACACTCTGAATAATTTCTGACTAGTGGCATCAAATGAAAATGCAAATATAATTTTAAAAACAGGTCTTTTATTGTTTGGATGAATCAAGGATCTATCGTCCATTAATCAATTGGTAATAGTCTTTTTTCTTTTCTTTTGAAAACCACATATAAATGACAAATATTTTATTATAATACTAGATGTTTGAACCGTGACTGATTTTTTTTGTTTTTAGCCTTTTTTGTTTCTTTTTTGAGAAAATAATGAGAATTATGACATTTGTTTGTTTGTGGCAATAATATATGTGATACCTGACAAATATTGGACGTCTCATCTGGAAGCTTCTGGTCATGAGACGGCACAAGAAGAGCATGAGGCTGATTTCTCTGAAGAAAAATATATACAAAGAATCCATTAAGTCCCTTTGAACCAAGCTTCACATACATGACACAAACATCTTCAGACTGCACATTACATCCTGATGTCTGAATCCTTGATCTGTAGAATACCCCTCCAGACTGTAAACATCTGCACCATCAGAGCTGATACTGGTGACAGCTCGACAGATCTCTCCCTATGAGAGAGAATTCAGCAAAGTTTTACTTATTTAATGAGTTAAGGACATAACATGTTTGCTTTATGTGTTCGGTTCTGACTCGTAATTTCAGATTTCACATAGAAAATACTTTCAATTTGTTCACACTCACTGATGACATGCCATAATGAAAAGCCTCCTGGGATGGCCAGGAGCTGTACGGTTGGCCTAGTACATGCTGATAATGGCTAGACTGAGCCAGTAAGTATTCAGGATAGGACGCTAAACTGAAGTGGGCTACTGGAGGCAAAGGATCGCATGTTAGCTGTGGAAGAATCCTGTAAGTGGTGTAGTCGTCCTCCCGCAGGGATTCTTCCATCCTGGAGTATCCCGGTACTGAATGCATCCCATGACTGATGAGATTTGCCATTCTAGAACTTTCATGGGTGTGGTGTAAAGGAACAAGAGACCCTTCAGATAAGTCTCTTTTGTAGCTGTACTCTTGGTCCTCCAACTCATTCATTCTCCTACTCTAGATGGCGCTGGAATCACGAAGGCATATAAGAAAACAGAATGTTAATCTAGATGCTGTAAAAAAAAATGTTATAAAAGTTGCCATTTTAATTTTAGTAATTCTGTGCTTTTGTCGTTCTTATAAATCTTTGATTGTAAGATTTCTATTTGATTTCAATTACAATTATTATTATTATTAAAAACAACACTGGTCCCGACTATGTAATGGAAAGTTGTATAGTGAGTATACATTTTTCTAACGTTATACTCTTCAGTAAAGTATTCCATTCTTAATATATTTATTTTGTGTTGAGCTAAAAAATGTCTATAATAATCTAAATATAGAATATAAATAGATAACCAAATATTTAAATAAGATGTTTAGTTTACCAACTTTGAGGTGAACTGGTTTTGCTAGCGATTTAGCTAATCATACGTCCACCTCAAGATATCAGTCAAGTATCATTTCTGTAGACATTATGATATACTTACCAGATACCTAAGTGCGTAATGGATATTCTGAACGCTTAAATTAACAAAATTAACTTATCTAAAATTGTATAAGTGTTTTGGATATGTTTTTCGACGTTTCAGATACTGTGGAAACGCGCGAATTTAACGGGATTTGAGCTCACGCGCATGAACACCGCGAGAGGGCGCGTGCAACTATATTTCACATAATTATGTTTTATTTGTGTAAATTCGCTTTGTAAATAATATATTAAGATGATTTAACGACGCACTTTCACACAACCATTACAAAAGGAAGAAAATTTAGCAGCGTCACCTTCCCCTTTAATTTTTAATGCATTAGCTAATGTTTGGAGGTTGGACGCTTATGAAACCAACCCCGCCTCCAGCTGGACTTTTAGTTGTGAAATACTTTAAGAGAGCGCGCTTGGAGTGCTCCCCACGTCTTGAAGATGAAGATCAACTTCTCAAAGTGTCACTCGGTGCTCATCACGGGGGCAAGCAGAGGTCTCGGACTGCAAATGGTCCGACAGCTGCTCTATTCGCCGAACAGACCCCCAAAGATCATAGCAACCGCGCGGAATCCAGCCGCTGCACAGGTAGGCCATTACAGTGCACCATAGCGTCTGTGCCTGTTTTTTTTACAGTCTATGGTCTGTGCACAATAAACATATCTGGACAAGTGGCTTAACGAGTGATTATGGTTTGCTGTCATTGTCAGGAACTGCAAGAACTCGCCAAATCGCATTCAAACGTTCATGTTTTGCCTCTAGGTGAGTTACATTGTCACGTGACTAACACGGAGACGCTTAACAAAATATATAATAATTATTAAGCGAATTAAATTATTCAATATTCCACTTCTGCATCATCAAGACGATTTGTGTATAGAATTCTGTTTGTGTTTAGTTCACCGACTATTTCCTTTGTCTGTTTGAAAATTTCAGTACTTTATATTTGTTTCAATGATTTATGTATAAAAAGTATAAAAAACATAAACTGTGTATGTATTAAACTGTATTATTATTTAACAATGTATTTTAAATACCACCCAACCTCCACAATAATGCATAAATAAATCATATAAAAATTTTACTAGTGAATCTTATATATGTCCAGTAGGTGGAGACAAAGGACAAAGAAATGTGATTCTTATTGACATTGACAAATGTTTAATTTCCACTTTAAACTTCCCTGTCAGATTTTATATAATAAAGTCCAAATTATATTTATGTCGTTGTTATCTGTAGGATTCAAACATTTCTGGAAATCATGAGAAAAAAATAAAATAAAATAAATAAATATATATATATATATATATGTATCTATTTTAAATGAGAATTTTTATATATTTTCATTTTTTATGTTCATTTTGATATGTGCATTTTAGTTTTTTTTTTTGTCATTTAGTGATGCCATTTACTTTTTTTGCAAGCTTTTTTATTTTTATTTTTTTTTTACGGTCAAGTTTAAATCTGAATTTATTAATTTAAGCCACTTTCCATATAGTTGGTTAATTCCAAACTTTATTTCAGTTACTTAAAATGATTTGTAATCGTTTTAGTTCATAACACCGGCCCTAAGTAATAGAAAGTTGCATAGTGAACAGTTTTCTAGTTATGCTCTTCTGTAAAATATTTCATTGTTTTTTTTATATTTATTTTGTAGAAAAATAAACTAGATAAATAAACCATTGAGATGTTTGATTTGAAAACAAATTGGTCTTTTGAGTTGCTTTTTTTAATCCACCAGAACCAGATCGAATGGATTCAAAAATCAGTCTGTCTTTATTATTTCAGATGTGACCAGCGACAGCAGTGTGGATGCAGCAGTGCAGTCAGTGGATTCCATTGTGGGCACTAATGGTTTGAACTGCTTAATTAATAATGCGGCGATTAACATGACGTCTGAACTGGACACGGTCACTCGAGATGCCATGATGAAAACCTATGAGAGTAACACAGTGGCTCCTCTTTTTGTGACCAAGGTAATATGACTGGATTAATTACCATCCAAAGGCGACTATAATCTTTCTTAACGGTATTTAATTTTCAGTATTTATTTATTTGAATACCCCATGATCTTTTTCAGGCTTTCCTGCCGTTGTTGAGAAGGGCGGCAGCTGAAGGCAGTGACATGGGAATCCAGAGAGCCGCGGTGATCAATGTGTCATCCGTCCTGGGATCTGTGCAGCTCAACTGGGGCGAGGGTGCGAGCTACAAGAGTTATGCATACAGGGCATCTAAGGTAAAACACCTGTTTAGTTGCTTTGTGGGAAAAATTATGAACTTCTATATACTTAGATTTTTAACATTCTAGAGCGCCTTGAATATGGTTACAAGGTGTTTGGCTATGGATCTGGAAGCTGAGAAGATCTTATGCGTCGCCCTTCACCCTGGTTGGGTGCGCACTGATATGGGCGGACCAACGGTGAGTCTAAATGTATTGTTTTTTATTCGTTGTCTTGATAAAAATGGCGTTTTAACCCATTTTCTTGCATTTAAAGGCACCTTTGAGCCCAGAGGAGAGCATATCATCAGTGTTGTCTGTCATTTCTGGATTAACGGAGAAACATCATGGTGGATATGTGGACTACACTGGGAAAAGCTTACCCTGGTGATTTCCATATTGTGTGTCACTGTCCGAGTGCCAGATGACCGCTGAGAAGCTATGACCAGAGAAACAGCCTGCAGCTTAATTATTAATTATAAACAGCTTAATTATTCATGTTTCCTACTGACCAAGAAGTAAAATAGTGAAGTAACCTTAGGTCTTTGGAGAATTGAATTATGAAAGGTTACAGGGGTGTGTTTATACTTTGTCATGGTTCTTGCCTTTTCTATAAATATTAAATAAAAGATAATAAGACAGACAGTAAGGTGAGTCGAATGCCATTTATGAGTTTTATTTTTTGAATCCATCTCCACACCAGCCGTCAAGTGATTCTGACAGATTAAAGTTGCGTGGTGATATTGAGAGTTTAGCGTGTCGAGAACAGTGCGGTGGAGAAGACGCTGAACGTCAATACAGCCTCTGAGAGCGAGTTCAGCCGGGTGCGGTGGAGGTCACGGTGTGTCAGTGCTGGATTCGGTCAAAATTAGGCTTGACTTATTTCCTCTGACGTGAGAGAGGAAGGCAGACTGTCGAGAGCTCCGATTTCTGCAGGGTGAAGTACGTAGAAATGTGAAAATTAGAACAACTCACTTTCTTGCAGTCAAATTAAGCTCTTATTTGCCTAAAACCTACAGAGATGGTTATTCAGAATTGCACGGTATATACATTACTTATCTTTTATGTGTCCGTTTATTCATATTTTGATGGTTTCGGTTACTAGTAGAAGTCAGAGTTGAATTCTAAATGTATTAATTTAACTTTGCTTTGGAATTTGAAATGAATTGGTCAAGGCTAACAGGACACATTTGTATTTAAGCTGGAATGACTGGATTGAATGGTTAACAGTAACACAGCAGATGAATTTCAATAGGCCAACACAACAACAAAAAATGACCGAAAACTGAAAACATCTTTGGTGTTTCCTTCGTTATTTGAAGTTTTTTTTTGTGTGTGTGGTTTTTTTTTTGTTCATTTTTTGTTTCTGAAAAAAAAAATACAAAATACAGTAAAAAACAAAACAAAACAAAAAACTGTAGTATTGCCAAATATTACAATTTAAAATAAAAAAAAATAAAAATTACTCAGGTAAAAATAAAATAATTTTATTTAATATTTCAGAATAAAAATAAAATGAATAAAAATTTCAATAAAATCAAAAGGGGCTGATATATATATATATTAGTCTCTTTTGATTAATATAATGCATCCTTGCTGAATAAAAGTATTTATTTAAAAATTTTCGACTATAATTTAATACTATATACTGTATATATAGTATTCAATTATAGTAGTACTATATACTTATATAGTATTAAATTATATAGTACTATATACTACTAAAATGTAATACTATATATATATTTATATACTATACTAACTATACTCCCAGCAATTTTAAGTTGATATATCTTTATTTTAGTTTCATAGATCTGATAAAAAAATCTCTAATCAAATAACAACTGCACTTACCTTTTAATTTGAGATATGAAAGAAAGTCTATAATAGTGTGGACAATATCCTCATCTGCTATCCTCAGAGCGGCTAAAAAGCAGAAACAAGATTTTATAGGGTCATTCTCAGTTATTATTTTACTTCCGAAGCCTTGCCACAACATCTGTGAAAGTACACTAACGATAAATGAATAGTGTAATCAACTTCCTAGCCTTTAGAGAGTCTAATAAACCATACAGAACAATGATATTATTGAACACAAATCCGTTTTGGGTTTTCACACTGATGAGTCCCTACGGGCGGTGCATGTTTCTTACCTGTCTTGAAATGGGCATTTCTCTCTTGCCTGCCAGTCCGTGCTTGTCGCTAAGGCCCCTGTGGCTGTCTATGGCATCTGATCACAAAGCAAAACCACACATAATCACATGATCATTTGAACAGCCTGCTGAGCACCACGCCGTCAGACCCTGACGCCCCAGCTGATATTCATAGACCTGCCTGTGGCACACATGTTCCTAATGCGACACGTCATTTTTTCCGAGGAATATCTTTTTGGGTTGGGTTTCTGTTTTTTGGGACAGATTGAGTAGAGCAACCTGCAGGAATTGAGTCATGGAATTGCTTTTTTGTTGCAATGCAAAGCACACGCTCACACCCTTGTGAAAAAGAAGTGAAACAAAACAAAACAAAAAACTGTAGTATTGCCAAATATTACAATTTAAAATAAAAAAAAATAAAAATTACTCAGGTAAAAATAAAATAATTTTATTTAATATTTCAGAATAAAAATAAAATGAATAAAAATTTCAATAAAATCAAAAGGGGCTGATATATATATATATTAGTCTCTTTTGATTAATATAATGCATCCTTGCTGAATAAAAGTATTTATTTAAAAATTTTCGACTATAATTTAATACTATATACTGTATATATAGTATTCAATTATAGTAGTACTATATACTTATATAGTATTAAATTATATAGTACTATATACTACTAAAATGTAATACTATATATATATTTATATACTATACTAACTATACTCCCAGCAATTTTAAGTTGATATATCTTTATTTTAGTTTCATAGATCTGATAAAAAAATCTCTAATCAAATAACAACTGCACTTACCTTTTAATTTGAGATATGAAAGAAAGTCTATAATAGTGTGGACAATATCCTCATCTGCTATCCTCAGAGCGGCTAAAAAGCAGAAACAAGATTTTATAGGGTCATTCTCAGTTATTATTTTACTTCCGAAGCCTTGCCACAACATCTGTGAAAGTACACTAACGATAAATGAATAGTGTAATCAACTTCCTAGCCTTTAGAGAGTCTAATAAACCATACAGAACAATGATATTATTGAACACAAATCCGTTTTGGGTTTTCACACTGATGAGTCCCTACGGGCGGTGCATGTTTCTTACCTGTCTTGAAATGGGCATTTCTCTCTTGCCTGCCAGTCCGTGCTTGTCGCTAAGGCCCCTGTGGCTGTCTATGGCATCTGATCACAAAGCAAAACCACACATAATCACATGATCATTTGAACAGCCTGCTGAGCACCACGCCGTCAGACCCTGACGCCCCAGCTGATATTCATAGACCTGCCTGTGGCACACATGTTCCTAATGCGACACGTCATTTTTTCCGAGGAATATCTTTTTGGGTTGGGTTTCTGTTTTTTGGGACAGATTGAGTAGAGCAACCTGCAGGAATTGAGTCATGGAATTGCTTTTTTGTTGCAATGCAAAGCACACGCTCACACCCTTGTGAAAAAGAAGTGTACTTTTAGTGTACTTCAAATCTTAGAAGTATATTTTTTGAAATCTGTATTTGCAGATGATATTACAAAAATTAAAGAAAGCCCTCTTTCATGACTATATGAACACACTTAAGTACTTTTAAAAAATTGCACTGCATTGTAATATAAGTTGTACCTTAAAGTACATGTTTTAATAATCTTTTGTCGTGCTTTAAAGAAAGTTGACAAGCAGCACATGTGAAATACTTGATTATAATTTCATTTAAAGTTCATTTATTTTAAATGTACTAAATATACTTACAAATATATTTAAATACATGACATACAAGTTTCAATAGAAGTTGCATTAAAGTATATTTTAATAACCAGAAATGCTTGTCATTACATTCGAAACTACACTTCAAACATATTTCAAAGATGTTCTTAAATCCTACTTAAGTGGGTCAAAAAACAACTAAATACATTTAATTTAAATGTAAACTGTAATGCATTCAGTTGTGAAAAATATGCAATTAAGTGTCCAAAACCTTGCAGTTGAGTATATTATTTCAATAACTAATCATTTTAAAAGTATTCTAAAGTGTACTCCTTTTTCACAAAGAGTCCTTTTGCACCCAAAGCAAAAAAGAGCAGTTTGATGGCAAAAACAACAGAAAAAGCTCACAGCAAGGTACAGAGGGTAAAGCGAAAGACATAATAGACTATTTAATGCAAGGAAACCTATTCAGAAAGAAACCTGCTGCTAAATGGGTTAGTACTAATTGAATTTAAGACTATGTATGGCAGTATTTAGAAAGTTCATGAAGAATACTTCATGCATTTGCACACAGAATATGCTGCTAAATGATGCCCTCAAACAGCAATGATTGATCTTTCCAGTTCAGGTGAAAAGATCTTTCTTTGATTCGTGCCGAATGGAAACTTCACCAGCAATGCAAAACAGCACAAAGAGCGAAATGCCACAGAGCAATTCCTCCTCTGACTTCAATAACCTGCAGGTGCTATCTTACATTGACCAAGCAGATCTTCTCTCCCCCTTGCACTGGGAGTATCCTTAATCTGTATAAGGTGATCAATACGACCTGAAACACAGGGAGCTTACGTAACTGACCTACACAGATGAGTTTAACATCAGTGCACCCCAACACATTTCATCAAAGAGAGCGAACAGACAGTACAGCAAACTAAAGAGTCCAAGGTTTAAAAAGCAGACCTGTGAGCTCAAAGCAAAAGTGAAGGAAAATAAATGAAGAAAAAACGTATGCGTCAAAACAGTTACATAAATCATAGGCAACTGTTTTTGAATAAACAGCTATGGGGAAAGATAGAGTGTGATATTATTGGAGAAGACAGAAAAAAGTCTACAAAAGATGTAATGGGGAACTCACGAGGACCGAGGAGCTGTTGAGGGTCCATCCTCTCTTCTCCTTGGCCTGTTTTATAGAATATGTGGTATATAAATGTAGAAGGTTCAATAAATATATACTGTAACAAATCCTTGTACATTTACAGTTAAAAACTGTTAGCTGTGGTTGCCAGACATTCACTGTAAAAATGATGTTTCAGGTATTACAGGATGACAGGTGCCTTTATATTTTAGAACTGATAACTGTATATTTCATTAAGTGATGAAATGTTAATATACCAGTCTTGAACTAACAAAAACTGAAATGTTTTTTTTTACCATAAATTATAAAGTAATTCATAGTTTTTATTTGCAAAAAAAAAAAAAAACATCAATTTGATTTACTGTAAAATTAAGTATAATGCAATGTTAAACTATTCATAGTTGTAACACATTGTTACTGTAGCATTTATAGAGTTACAAAAATTACAAACATTTTTAATGTAGTGATGACCAGGGCTAGTTGTCACAAGCCTCATATCTCAGTCATTTTTTATGATTTTGAACCATATCGGTTCTTAATATAATTAGAACTCAAATTACAATATAATAATAATAACAAAAAGTTTTCTTTAGCAATAGTTTTGTATAATGGTTCAAAATCCTAATATATAATATCCTAGGCCTATATCTTTACATATATATATATATATATATATATATATATATATATTATGATGACGTTTTGTGGGCGGAGCCTCTCTT